CCCAGCACATACTCCACAGGCACATCGGCACGCTGGGCACGCCTGCGGGGGAGGGCCAGGAGCGACACGCGGCGGCGGCAGGCGGAGCAGGTTGGCACAAGTGCGCATGCCGGCGCCGGCCTCGCCACCACCAAACACACGCAGCACCTCCAATCCACACCCCACCACACACTCCCACACCAGACCAAAGAGGCCCCCCCGCCGACCTCCGCCATGCTGTCGCTGCCCCTGATCCTCTCCTCTCACTCAACAGACCCCCCCCCCCCAAACCCACCAGCCACCACACCCCCAGCCACGCCCTGCCTCACCTGACCTCCGCCATGCTGTTGATCCCCCTGATCCTCTCCTCCAGCCGCGCCAGGTCCCCCTCCGCAACCAGGTCCGTCTTGTTCAGCACTACGCGGTCGGCATACGCAATCTGCTCCAGCGCCTCGTTCACAACGCCCTCCGGCTTCTGCTCATCCAGGTGCAGCTCCACGTGCTTGGCATCCACCTGGCAATGGTGGCGCAGCAGCGGCGGCGGCGGCAGGGCGGTGACGCCGGGCAGGGGCGGCGGCCAGACCGGCATCAGGCGGCGGTGGTGCGGCGGCTGGGACGGGAGTGTGAGTGGAGCTGGGTGGTGTGCGTGGCAGCAGGGCCGGGAGGCCAGCCAGCCGGCCAGGAGCTGCCGCCAGGGGTAAAGCACACGCGCCGCGCGCGCCGCCGCTCACCAGTGTGACGACGCCGTCCAGGCGCATGCGGTCCGACACCGAGGGCTCCAGGAAGAAGGTTTGGATGATGGGCGCGGGCTGCGCCAGGCCCGTCGTCTCAATCACGATGCGGTCAAACTGGGAGCGGCGGTCGTACTGCAGGCAGGGGGGGCGGTACGGTACGGTACGGTACAGCCCCCACAGCAACAAGGCGTGCCCCCTGCAGCAGCCATAGCCATCACAGCCCAGCAGCAGCCTCCGGCCACAATTGCCAAATACAACAGCATCCACAGCCGCAGCAGCGGCATCGTCCAGCCAGCTCCAGGACTAACTGAACGTGGGTGCCACAGCCGCCGCTACTATGAGGCAGCTTCAACCAGCAGCCTCAGCCCACCAGCGTGTTGAGCATGGACACGAGGTCGTCCCTCACGGTACAGCACAGGCAGCCGTTGTTCAGCATCATGATCTGCTCCGCGCCCGGATCCAGAGACTCCTCCACTGCGGGCAGCGGTCAGGCCAGGTGGGGCAGGCACAGGAGGGGCTGAACTGCCGGCGGGGCGCGGGGTGTTGTGTGTGTGCGCGTGTGTGCTTGCAGCGTGAGGCGGGCAGGCAGAGGGCTTGGAGAGGACGGGGGCTGCGTGCCTCTGGCAGTTGTTTATAGCGTCCATGGAGGTGGCCGCGGCTGCTGGCATCCCACGCCTGCCGCCGAGGCAGAGGTGCGCCGGCGCGGCTGCTGGCATGCTCCCCACCTGCCACCAGGTCTGAGTCGATGTCGATCTGGCCGTACTCGTTCTCGATCACGGCGATGCGGTACCCGTGGTCCTGCCCCAGGATCTGGTTCAGCAGCGTGGTCTTGCCGCTGCCCAGGAAGCCGGTGATGACCTGCGCAGGCGACACGCAAGCGAGGGGAGTGAAGGCAGGAGGCCTGTTCCAGAAGCGGCCTCCGCCAGCGGCGGCGCACATGCACGTGCATGCGGCGCCAGCTGCGGAGTGAGCGGCCCGCCTGGTTGGCCGCGACTGGCCGCGCACCGTGACGGGCACGCGGTCGTCCAACACCTTGCCCTCCACATCAATCGCGTCGCTCTCCTCCACCGCGGCCGCGCACCGCGCCTGGCGGCGGCGGGTGGTAGGCACGCCGAGTGGTGGGGCCCTGGCTGCGCTGCGCGCCTGGCGCTCCGGCCGTTGTGCGTGTCTCCGGCTGGCGATCACGATGGTGCGTGGTTTGGCTGGCCCGAAAGGCCGTGCTGCCGCTGGACGCACACCATGCCGCTGGAGGGCGCTCGAGGGCTGCATATCTGGTTGCACCGTGATAGACAGGTATGGATGCCAAACTAAAGCATATGGCTAAAGGCTCGCGCCCGCAAGGACAGGGCAGCACTCTCAGCACGGCAGCTTGATTTTCCGCTTTGCTCGATGCGCAGCTTGCATCAGGCCACACCTTTGCATCAGGCCACTCGCTGCAGTTCCCTTGGAGGGACGGCGCGACTGCTGCCGTCCGTCGCCAACTGTCTGGCGCAGCCATGGCTCCTCCGCTCAACGATGTGACAAATACCCTGGCCCCAGCGTCGGCTCCGGCCCGCCGCGTGGCCAAGCCCGGCGCCAAGCCCGTGCTTCTCGCGCCCGAGCCCCCGGCGGCGGCTCCCGGCCAGCCGGGAGACGCCGACCGGCTGGTGCACAGCTTTCGGGGCTTGGCCCTCGCCCCGCTGAAGAGTCAGGACACGGCGGCAGCCGCGCAGCAGGAAGAGGAGCCGGCAAGTCTGGCCGCCGAGGATTCCTCCGCCTCCACTGGTACCGCCAGCGCCGGCGGCGCCAGCCAGCTTGGCTCGCCCATCGCCGCCTTTGCGGCCGCCAAGGCCCGCCTGCAGCGCAGCACCAGCGACGCCGAGAGCCGCATCAGCAGCACGCTGCAGGCGCTGAACAGCTTGCGGCAGGGCGTGGCGGGCGCCGCGCGCTGGGGCGCCTGAAGCACGAGTGCGGGCTGGAGGCGGCGGGCAGCGGCCCCAGCGGCGGCAGCCCCGCGCTGGCGGCACTGCAGAAGCGCAACTCGGTCCTGAAGGAGAGGCTGCACAGCACCATGGCCCTCTGCCGCTCGCTTCACTCCCAGGTCAGTAACGCGCCGCCGTGGCATGCCAGTTCGTTGCAAGGTCTGCTTGCACCGCTGCCGCCGCTGCCTTCCGAATGCCGGCCCTATCGGCGCTGCGCAGGCGCCCCGCTGTCAAACGCTGCCCGCGTGTCCCTGCCCCTGCAACCTGCTCTTCCCCTGCAGAACCAGGAGAGCCTTGAGCTGGTGGCAGAGCTGCGGCAGGACAACAGGCAGCTCAGCGCCAGCCTGCAGGAGGCACGGGTGAGGAGTGGGGCTGGGCAGGAGCAGGTCGTGTGTGTCATAGACACTGTGGCGCGGGGCAGGGTGTGCGGGGCGTGACGTTGCTTTGCTGTTTGTGGGCTGCCAGTTTGAGGAAGCCGGCGGGCGGCATGCGGCAGTGGTGCCTGCTGCCCTCCATCTGCTTCTGCTGCCTGCCTGCGCCAGGTGTGCCTTGCTGCGGTGTTCCTTGCGGGGCTCCAGTTGGCAGCGCGCGCTCACTGTCCCTGCCGTCGCCGGTGCTGCCGCCGCGCTGTGCAGCTGGACAAGGCCGCCCTGCAGCAGACGATCCGGCAGCTGACCCAAGAGGCGGCGCTGCTGGCTGAGCAGGCCAGGCTGGTGCTGCTGCCAGGGGAGGCGGCGGGTGGAGGCCTGGCGGCGGCGACGGTGCCGCAGGCGGTGCCATATGCGAGTGCGGCAGCAGCGGCAGCAGCGGCAGCAGCAGGGCCTGCAGAGGGCGAGGCTCTCAGCTTGGATCGCGACTGGTCTGCCGCGCCGTTAGACGCCAGCAGCAGCAGCAGCGCCGGCAGCGGCAGGCAGGGTGCCGCCTGGCGGCCGGGGACCTCTGTGCACAGCTTCGAGTGCGGCAGCGGCGGCGCTGCCTTTGCGGCTGCCTCTGCCACAGCCTATGTTCAGGACGGTGGCGGCGACGGCGCGGGCGACAAGCGGCGGCGCCTGACCCCCGGCATGCTGGCCCACTGCCTTCGCCCAGCCATCTCGGCGGCTGTGGCAGAGGCAGCAGCCATGGATGCCGCAGGACCCTGCAGCCGCCCCGCGCCCACCCCCGGGCGCACCCCCAAGCGCAAGCACCGCCAGGTCAGCGGCGCCAGCCTGGCAGCGGCGGCCGCCGCAGCCCCGGATGCTGCCACCCCCAGCCCGGCGGCCTCACCGGCGACTGCTGGTGTGCAGCACACGGCGCCCGTGCAGCTGTTTGGGCGCTTTGACTGCGCCCAGGCGGGGCTGCAGCAGGCGCAGCAGCAGGGCGGGTGCCGGGCGCTGGCGGCGCCGCCGGCTGTGGTGGAGTGCCAGCGCTTCCAGACTTTCGACCTTTTTGATGCCAAGTGGCATGGCGGCGGGCAGGCCCAGGCGCTCGCCCTGGTGCCGGCAAACAGCCGCGCGGGCAGGCGCCGCCACGCCTCGGGCTGCAGCATGATGTGAGGCGCCTCGCCGCGCCTGCCCAGCGGTACGTCCTGCCGCCTGCTGCGCTTTCTCCTTCCCGTTTTGCTGACCAGCCTTTTTCACCGATTGTACTGCCGCCATCGCCTCACAACAACAACTAGACTGTAGACTGATATGAGCTGTTTCTCACTGCTGGGTGTCTTCCACCCTGGCACCTCCTGTGTTGCCGGGCACTGCCGGGCCTGCTGTTCTCCCTGTGAACAACCCTGAAACACCACTGACCACATCCCCCAAGGCGCAAGGTTGATGGGAGAGCGATGCAGTGATCGACGGGGGTGTGGGCGGTGGCTGCCATCTGTCGCGTGCTGTGCCCTGCTGTGCCGCCGCCTGCTCCATAATTGGCCAACTGCTCCATCACGCGAGCGCTCGACGATCGCATTCTCTTCAATCGCCTGCAGCCTCCGGCTGTCCGCCGGAACTAATACCAGCGTTGGAGAGCGAGGCTCCACCTTTGCGGACGACTTGCCTCTGAATGAAAGCGGCGTTCGACGTGGCGGCCTGGCTGGCCAGGAATGCGCCCAGCAGCTGCCCACCTCCCCAGATGTCGCAGCCAGTGCAGGTGGCCGGGTGGACCAAGGTGGCGGCGGGCGCCTTCACCCCTGACTGCAGCGGTGAGCTCCCCTCTTGCCTCGACACTGCCCCGGTGGTGGACCGGCGGCGAGTCGTCGACACGGGTGCAGCATTGAGGCTCGCCCCAATGCCTGCCGTCCGCCGCAGGCCTGCTGCCCTTTGTGCGCCCCGCGCTGCCCGCCAGCCTGGAGGGCGGCGGCTACGTGGGCAAGGACGAGGGCGAGGATGTCGGGGTGGAGCCGGTGGTTAGGGCCGCCGCGGCGGCCGCCGCGCTGCAGGCTGGCTGCGACGTGCTGTCGTACCGCAACAACCTCAACAAAATCTTCGGGGTGCCGTTCGACCCGTCCTCGCCCTGGGCCGTCGACGCCTGCCTGCTGCGCCTGCCAGGCCCCGCCCCCGGCAGCGGCCGCGGAAGCAGCAGCACCGGCAGAGGCGGCGGCGGTGGCGGCAGCATGGCGGGTAGAGAGAGCGGGGGCAGCAGCAGCCTGTCAGGCAGCGAGAGCGGCGGCGGCGGCGGCGGCACCCTGTTTTTGGACATTGTGAAGGTGGAGCAGGCGTGGATTGGGGACCCTGCTCAGATGGAGAAGTTCACTCGCTGGGGGTACAGGCAAGCGGCTGGGCCACCGCTGCGGTTGGGGTGCTGGCGGCATCATGCGCCTGCGGCACCGGCCCCTGTGCGCCCTGGGACCCTGGGCACTGGAAGGCGGCAGCCCAGGCGCATCCCGTGTGCTCCGGCTACCATGCTGCCGCCGCCACCTGCTGCCGCCGCCGCCTGCCGCCAGCCGCCCGTCCTTGCTGCTGCCGCTGCCGCAGGTTTGAAGCGCTGTGCACGGGTCAGGAGGTGGCAGACGCCTCCTCAGAGTACGGCGCCCTGGTGCGCAGCCGGCTGGCCCAGCACCGCCTCCTGATCGACGCCGAGATCGACTGCTTCGACCCGGCAGCTGCCGGGCAGCTGCCGCCAGCGGAGGAGCGGCAGCAGGCGCCAGGAGGGCAGCAGCAGAAGCGGCAGCAGCAGCCGCCGCCGCTGTCGAGCTACATTGAGCTGAAGACGTATAAGCTGCCGCAGCATCCGGGGCAGCAACGCACCCTGCACCGGCACAAGCACCCCAAGTGGTGGCTGCAAAGCTTCCTGGCGGGCGTGCCCCGCCTGGCGCTGGGCGGCCGAGACGACCAGGCACGCGCGTGTGTGTGGAGGGGGGTGCTGTGCCACGGCTGCTGGAGGCCCCACGCCTCCAAGCTGCTCCAGTGGTGTGCTGCGGGCCCTCCTCCGGCTCCGCTCGCCGGAGCTGCGGCGCCTGCCTGCCAGCCTGTGCTCCTCACAGTGCGGAGCGACGTGCCTGACCTCCCTGTCTTCCCTGCCAACCAGCCCACCTGACCCATCCACCTGTCCCTTTCCCGGCCTCCTGGCCTGTGCAGGGCATGGTTCGCCGGATCGACCTGGTGGCGACAGCAGACCTGCCTGGCATCTCCGCCGCGCATGGCGCGCACTGGAGCCCCGGCCAGGCTCTGCAGTTCGGTGTGGCGGTGCTGGGGTGGATGCGGGAGGAGGCGGGGCGGGCCCCTGGCCAGCACCTGCGCTTCACCTACGCTGGTGGCAGCGGCGGCGGCGGCGGCAGGGGCGGCGCCGCCGGCAGCATACGCTGCGAGGTGGTGGAGGGCGGGGCCCTGCCGCAGCGCATCAGCAGCTGCCTGCGGGAGTGCGGGCTGGAGCTGTGAGGCTGGCAGGCGGCGCCGCCCTGGCTGGGGCAGCGAAGGGTCCCCACAGGGAGGGGGGCACGCCTGCGCCTTGACGGCTGGTCAGCTGCAAAATGTGGCACCCTGAGCTGCTGCCTTTGCGGTGCCGGGCGCCTTGCATGAACCATCCTGTGTTGTGTGTAACAAGTGCAACAGGGAAAGAGTGATTCCGGAGATTGAAGCAGCTGGCAGCAAGTGTAAACAGGTGGCGAGGCATCTAATTTCAGAAGAGCAAGATGGCAGTCCTTGCACGCGGCGGCGCCACCTGGCGGCGCCAAATGAGAGGGAGGAAGGAGCAATCACGGCAGCCGATGTAGGGTCACGTGCTGGCTGGCAGATTGACCAGTGCGAAGCGATGTTCAGCTGGCGGCAGCGAAACTTCAGGAAGACTTTCTGGGGTGCTGGACAAGCGGTGCTGTGGCTGCGCGCATCCAGATGGTGGTGGCGCGCAAGGCATGCTGCGCTGTAACTAAGAAGGCTGATTGTTCCAGAAAAGCTAAAAAGGCTGTTTCTTCATGAGGCCTGGGACTGCTTGGAGATGGACGGCGGCGATCGCGAGGCGCGGGTGGGGCGGCGCCGCGGGCTGTGCACGGCTAGGCCAGGCTGCGCGCCGCCGCCAAATGCAGCGCCACCGCCAGCAGCGCCCAGCCCATCTCCCGGCGCAGCAGGACCGGCTCGGGGCGCATGCCTCGCGCCGCCAGGAAGCGGCGGCGCTGGGCTGCCTCGCGGCGGTACACCAGCAGGGAGGGCAGCAGTAAGCCCGCCCCCAGCTGCAGGCTGGGCAGGTACGCGGTGCACAGCTGGGCCGCAGGGAGCGCGGCCGCCGCCGCGGCGGCGGGCCTCAGGCGCGCAGCCAGGGCTGGCGGCGCCCAGGACAGCAGGCGGCGCAGCGCGGGGCTGACGACGCTGGAGTGCACGGCCGCCACCGCGGCCTGCAGCTGGCCGTGGCGCGCGCAGTGCTCCGGGTTGTGGCGCAGCAGCAGCAGCAGGATGAGCAGCTGGCCGTGCACATAGTAGCGCAGCGTGGGGGCCAGCGGCGCCGCCGCCCCGTTCAGCAGCATCACCGCCGCCTGGCTGTGCCAGACCAGCCACAGCGAGGCGCCCAGCAAGGCCCGCAGGGACTGCGGCTCGCCGGCTGCGATGGCCGCGCCGCCGCCAGCTGGCACCAGCTCATACAGCTGTGGGTAGAAAGCGCACACCATCGCAGCGTGGCCCAGGTTCCACGCACTGACCCAGTAGCGCCGCCACCTGCAGGCCCAGGTTGCGTGGCAATCAGACTAAACATCCATGGGCGAAGGGAATCGGCGGCGGATGCATCAGCCAGCCAGCATGGCTGGCTGGGGCAGGGGGCTGTGCCCGCTCAGCTCCCGGCGGGCCGGGCGAGGCACGCTGGCGCATGCAGCCAGGCCACCCCAATCCGCACCTCAGAAAGGCTGCCGGGCGGGACCACAGCAGGACCAGCAGCGCCAGGCTGTACGCCGCCGCCGCCGCCGCCATGGGCGCCACGGTCGCCGCAGCGGCGCCGTGCGCCGCGGCGCGCGCCGCAAAGCCCAGCCACGCGGCCAGGCGCAGGAAGGCGCGCACGGCGTCGTGCCGGGTGCGGCTGGCGGCATGCTCCCGCTGGAACTCCTCTTCCAGCTCCGGCCGGTCCCCAAAGGCCAGCAGCACACACAGCACGACCTGCAACCCGGCCAACACGGGCTTGGGTGGGTGGGTCGCGCCCAGCGCCGGCGGCGCGCGTGGCGGCGGGGCCTGTGGCTGCCTTGGCTGAAGTGGATGGCGTGGCAGACCCTCCCGAGCCCAGCCTGATCCCCAGGATACGAGAGAGAGAGCGGACAGGCTGCAGCAAGGAGGTGGAGGCTGACCTTGGGCGGGCGAGCAGGTCCGAGGTTGCCCTCAGCATACATGCTTGTGCTGCCCTGCGCCCCCAAGTTGTGCAGTGTTGCAACAACAAGGGTCCGAAAAATGGGCTTGGCTTGTGTGCACATGCCATGGCCATGTTCGCACACTCATGGGGGCCACCTTCAACACTTCTCTGAGTTCAAGGTTGTTCACTCACACAGGGCATCACGCAAGGCATTCGAATTGAAGAAAGTGCAAGCATTGGGCAGAGCATATCAGGGCTGCACTGGCAGTTGGCAAGGGCACATGGCGGGGCAGGAGGGTGTGCGGATGGCGGTGCGCGCCGGCCCGCGTGGGCCGCCGCCCAAGAAACAGACAGAAATACAAGGGTGTTGGGCCTGGATGGATCTGGGTAATGCACATGTTCCTGGTAATGGTTGATTTGCTGATTTGCTGTTAAGTTCCTGGGCTTCGCGCCTTGAGGTGTCGCGAATGCTATTTGAGCGGACGGGCTCACAGCCGGGGGCCTGCGTCCCGGCACCAGCGCAGCAGCCGCGCGCCCAACTTGCGCAGGCCGTGCCCGGCAGCCCAGCAGGCGCCCCCGCCGCCTGGCCGCTGTGCTGGAATGCTGCCGCTGCCCGGAGCGGCTGGTGGGGGGGCGGCGTGGGATGGCAGCGCGGCGGTAGGGCTGGCCGTCTGGGCGCTGACGATGATGCTAGTAGAGATGGATCCAGCTCCAGCTGCAGCCTTGGCTGCCGCGGCAGGTGAGGCCGAAGCGGAGGCGCTGGGCCCCAGCACGCTGCCAGCCGGGGTCCCTGGGTTGCTGGGGCGCGGCATGCTGTCCACACCAGCGGTGGGGGTGGCGGGCGCGGGCGCGGCGCCGCGGCGGCTGCCCGGCGTGCCCGGCAGGCTAGCGGCGGCGCTCCACTGCCGCTGCGGAGTGCCCGGCTGGCTGGCGCTGCTGGCCACGCTGAGCCTGCTGAGGCGGCCAAGCAACTGGCTGCTGCCATCGCTGCTGTCGCTGGTAGCAGAGGCCGCCGCCACGCCGGTGGGTGACCCGGGCAGGCTGCTGCGGCTGCCCTGCCTCTTGTGAGCCGGCAGCGCAGAGGGCTCTGCCGGGGCTTCTTCGTCGACGGGGCCCAGCACCATGCTGCCCTCCAGCCTGCTGCCAGCTTTACTGCAGCTGCTCCCAGCACGGGAGCTCAGCGACAGGGCGGCGCTGCCTGCACTCGGGGCTGCGCCTGGGACGGCCGGCTGCTGCTGCTCCTGCTGCCGCTGCTTGGACCAGGCGGCAAAGGTCGCGGGGGTGAGGCCGTCGGAGGAGAGGGCGGTGTGCCACGCCTGGCTGGCGCCAGCTGGGTCCATCTCTGCATCGCCGGCGGGGGGGGGCAGGCAACTTGCATGTAAGGGAGGCCGGCTTGGAAGATTTGGGGAGATTTGCTTAAGGCGAGAAAGGGGGTAGAATTGTCGCAAGGAACCAGAGAGGCAAGCTGTGCGACTGGCTCCAGGCGGCTTGCAGGGGCCGACACAGGTGGAGTCTCACCAAACAACGCTTTGACCACCGGCCCGCTGCGAGCCGCCGCCCCGATGTGCAGCGGCGTCAGGGCGGCTGGCCCCGCAGGTGCCGCCACATCCCACGAGAAGCAGGCCTGGTGTCGGGCCCAGGCAGCTAGCACCTACAGCCCGGGGCCAAGAACCAGCCAGGGCTGCTTTAGCGGGCAGTGCTGTGGCAAGCGAGCAAGCGAACCAGCCTGCTGCCGCCGATCTGGCATGTGCCCCACCTCCAGAACGGCGGCAGAGCCTGAGGCGGCGGCCAGGAGCAGCAGGGTGGCGCCAGCAGGGCACAGCGCGTCCATGGCATGCACAGCGTGCTCAGTAGAGCTGCAGGTGGGCCAGGCGGGAGCAGCCAAAATTATGTGTCAAAAGCAGACACTGGCATTGGGGGCCAAGAAGCAACCCACGCAACTCAGCGCTGCAAAGAGGCTGCAAAGGGGCTGCGCTGCAATCTACATAGAGCCCCACCTGCCGTCCGCCGCGACGCTGGGCAGCAGCAGCGCCGCCAGCGCCGGCCAGCCGCGGCGGGAGGCCGCCACGACGCCCGCCCTGGCCGCGCTGCTGGCGGCGGCAGCCAGCGCCGCGGCGGCCGACTCTGCTGGGTGGTCGCTGTCTGTGGCTGTGCCTGAAGCAGGGTCGAAGCCATCTGTGCCAGAGCCGTCTGTGGTGGTACCGCCCTGCTGCTGCGCCTGCACCTGGCGGTGATGCAGTACCAGAGCGATGCTGCGCAGGAAGGTATCCACGCTGGCAAACCCTGCAGTAGGGATTGGGCAGCAAGCTGAGGTATGAAGCCATAGGCATATGGGTAGACTGCCCCCCGGGTCAGGCAGAAGCCCACCCAGCACACCAGGATACACGCCTGGCGGCAGACCGCGTGCCCCTCTCTCTCCCCAACAGCAGGGGCCCAGCGGGTCCTGCGGTGTAGCTCGCATACCTGCGGTACAGCCCTCCAGCTGGCGCAGCTCCGCCACCGCCGCCGCGTTGTCCAGCGCCAGCAGCACGCGGCTGCTGCCCAGCAGGGCGCCTCGCTGTGCGGGGTGAGGGGCAGGGGCGGTGGGAGCGCGGGCCTCAGACGCAAGCCTCGGTGACCGGGTTGGGCCATCCACATGGGAGGAGCGGTTTCCACTCCTCCCAACAGCCTCTCAACGGCACATGCGTGCAGTTGAGAGCCACCTACCTGAACCTCCACAGTGAATAGGCCCTGCTGCGCCTGCGGCAGCCTGCAGGGCAGAAGGTTGGGGGGATGGATGCAAGCAGTGAGCCTGGGAGAGCTGCCCGCCAGCTCAAAAGATGCTGCCCCCTGGGCCCTGCACTGCAAACACCCTTGCATTTCCCGTCTGTTGCAGCCGGAGCCCACCTGATCTCCAGCCACTCCTCCGCTGGGCGCTCAAACGCGGCTGCGACGCTGGCCCTGGTGGTACCGCCAGCGGTACCGCTGCTGGCCAGGATCTCGACCAGGGGGTAGCTGCCTGCGGGGGAGGCAGGCAGAGAGCCGGGCAGTGAGCGGGGTGCAGGAGGGATCAGCAATCGGCAGGAGAGGGATCCAAGCGGGGGTCTATCAACGCACAAAAGCGGGGCTCTCCCTATGCAAATCGGCGTCAGTGATTTGGGTGATTCCGCTGCCCCTCACCTCCAGACCGCACTAGCAGGCGCTGCTGCTGGCCAGCCAGGTTCTGGCCACGCACCAGGATGCTGTCCCTGGCGTTGGAAGCGCCGCTGCTGCTGGCAGTAGCAGCAGGGCCGGTGTGCAGCGCGATGGGGCTGATGCTGTTGATGGTGGGCACGATGCCAGCACAGGAGGAGAGCTGCGGCGGAGCGATGGGGATACCAAGTGTGTCAGAGAGAAGGGAGGTAGAATTGCTGGCGGAATGGCAAGCGTCTGCTCAGGGGCCCGGAGCTCTCCTGGCAGCAGGGGGCACGAGCAGCAGCAGCGCAATGCCGCTACTGTGCCCACCTGCAGGATGCGCACCACCCTGCCCGCAGATACCAGCGCCACCTCACCCTCCAGCTGCACCTGCAGCCCAGGAATTCGAGGCAGTTCGGCAGGCGTCAGCAGGCCTGCACTGCCACACGCAGCCAACCCCTGCACATATCATCTCCTCGGACAGGCGGCATCCGTCCCAAGACATGATATGCTCATGCTCACCAGTGCTGGCACCCTCTGCAGCAGGCTGCCCAGGCCCGACTGCCCCTGCAGCAGCTGCTCCAAGGCGGCGGCCAGCCCCTGCTGCTGAAGCAGCGCCAGCTGCTGGGGGTCCTGCAACCAGGGCCGGACAGGAGAGCGGCAGCACTTTCTGCCTGCTCTACCCGCCCCGCCAAGACTCGAGACTCCTCGCCTGACACAGCTGGCCGGCCGGCCGGCTCGCCTGACACAGCCGGCCGGCATCCAAGCAGCAGTGCAGGCACCAGCTGATGCGACAGCAGCAGCAGCAGCGGCAGTAGCGGCTCTCCCTCGCCTGCAGCAGCGCCTCAAGCGTCAGATGCACGCAGCCGGGGCGCAGGTAGCCTTCCAGGTTGGGTGAGCAAAGCAGCGCCGCCAGTTCCTGCGGGGTGCAGGGGTGCGCAGGCAAGGCAGGCAAGCAGTGTCGGCAGCATTTGTGGGGTAGCAGCGGCTGCCAGGAGCTATCCTTTTCCAACAGATCAAGAAGGTGCGAGGGCACGCCAGCAGAGCACCCGGCAAGCAGACCCTCCTCCTGCCGGCCCAGCCCTGTGTCAGTTTGGCCCCGAGGGAGCAGGCCAGCAGCCACCTCACCTGCCGAAGCTCTGGCGGCAGCTGGTCGGGCGTGGAGGAGAACAGCTTCATGGAGAGGCGTATGGAGCGGGCCTGCGGCCGGCAGCAAAGGTTCGGTACCTTTGCACCATTCCAGCTCTGGCAGGCGTGCGCCGAGCCTGGTCCCACAGGCCACAGCAGGAGCATGGTATGGCGGCAGCAGCCGAGGCTCAAGGCCGCCACCCACCCACCTGCTCCTCCAGCGGCAGCAGCTCCTGCTCCTGCGCCTGCTGCTGCGCCTGCTCCTGCTCCCGCGCAGCCTGCTCCTGCTGCTGCTGCCACTGGATCATCTGCAGGGCTTGCTGCAGGGATTCGGGCGGCGGAGCGTGACCGCCAGCCAGCTGGCGCAGCTGGCCAGCTGGCAGCAGGGGCTGCGGGGTGGGGGTGTCGCCTTGCAGGAAGGGAGCAGGCAGAGGGGCGTGGGCAGGTGCTGCTGCGCCTGCTGCGCCATAGCTTGAGGCTGGCAGGCCGGGGGACGGCACAAACGAGCTGGGTGGCGGCGGCTGGTAGCTCCACTCCTGGCGATGCTGCAGCTGCTGCTGTGGGGCGCTTGGCAGTCCCGCAGGGAAGGCCCCAGGCAGCGCCTGCTCCTGCTTCACCTGCTGCTGCTGCTGCTGCTGCGCGGATGCCCTCGCCACCACAGCAGGCAGCAGCAGCTCCGCCAGCCAGGCGTGGCCGCCCTCCTGGCCGCCGGCACAAGGTCCAAACAGGTCGGTGATCAGAGCATCAAAGTCGTGCCCGCCCGGCGCCGGCGCCTGGCCTGCCGGGGTCCCAGCCTGGTGCGGCGCTGGAGGGGCCTGCGCTGTGCGGCCGGGGAGGGCGGCACCAGAGACTCTGGCCGCGGCGATGACGGCCTGCAGCTGCTGCTGGCGCTGCTGCTCCTGCTGCTCGCTGCCTGCACGGGGCTGCACCGTGGGATGCGCCGGGCCTGCCGCTGCTGCCTGCGCCGCAGAGCCTGGAGGGAGGCTGGGCGCCAGCCGCGGCGGGGAGGGCACCAGCAGGCCCTCGATGCCCAGCTCTGGCGACAGCAGGCCAGGCAAGGGCGGCAGCTGCAGCAGGCGCGTGGCTGGCGGGGACGGCACGCCTGCCATGCCCAGCAGCAGGGGCAGATCGTCCTGCACGCCGTGGGTGGCACAGCCACGTGAGGGGAGGGTGGGTGTAATGTGTGCGAGTCAGCATGCCAGATGCAGGCCACCGCTGCAGCAACCATTCCGTTGTGCAGGCACTGGCTGCCGGCGCACAACTTCCGCAGGCGTGCACAGGTGGCAGCCAGCAGCCAGGCGGGCGAGGCGGCTCACCAGGTCCATCGCAGCCTGGCCCCGCCCTGAGGCGATACCGGCTGGCGCGGCCCCGGCTGGCGCAAGCACCCTGGGCAGCACCGCCGGCTGCGCCGCGGCGCCTGGCGCCTCCTCCGCCTCGGCAGACGCCGCTCTCTTCTGCCGCCGCCGGCGGTTCTCGGCCCCAGGGCCGGCCGTGGAGGCGAGCGGGGCCCCGAGGGTGGCTGCGCCGCCCACAGCGGCGCCAGCCCCTTCCTGCCCCTTCTTCTTCTTCTGGCTGGTCAGGTTGCGGCGCCGCTCGTTGTGGCGCTCCAGCTGCAGCCAGCCAGCCAGCCAGCCAGGGGGAGGCGGTGCAGGATGAGGAAGGCATGGGACAGAGGAGGGTGGGCAAGGAGCTTGGCAGCGGAGCGGGAGGCCTGTGCCCCAGCTGTGGCATGCCTCGGCTATGCAGTTGCATGCAGCGCGGCTGGGCTGCGCGCTAGCGGCGGCGGCGGCATGCCTTGCGCCTGCAGGTGCGCTTGCTGCCCTCGAAATCCGCCAGAGGCTGGAACTTGCCGCACTGCGGGACAGAGCAAGGGGGTAAAACATGCAGGAGGTTGCAAGCGGAGGAAGGGGGTTGCTGGCAGGTGCGCGGCAGTGCTGGCGGCGGCACCGCCAGGCAGCCGCGGTTCCCGCTGTGAGCGATCCCCAGTGTCTCACCGCCGCCACATAAACACCCCATACCTGCTGGCAGAAGCGGAGGTGCTCGCCACCCCTCACGATGCAGGGCATGACGCAGTGGTTGGGGCAGATCTTGTACCGCTGCATGGCAGCAGTACAGCCGGGCGGGGCAGCCTCTCGTCATTTGATCCGCGCAGTTCACAGGCTGGCGGGGTGCAGGCTGCGCCAGGGCGGGTTCGCGCGGCAGCCTGGTGGGGGCCTGGGCTGCCGATACGGTGGTGGCGGGCCGGCAGCAGATCCCCGCTGGCTAGTGCAGGGGGCGGCTGGGCCACCTCGCGGCCTGTTTGCTGTGCGGCTCCCCACAGTGCCCAGGACCATCAGTACCATCGGGACCATCAGGACCAGCCCACCTGGTAGTACTCCTTCAGGGCGCTCACGTCGGCGTGGCACACCTGGCACGCGGCGCCGCCCCTGCTGCCGCCGAATGCCATCGCCGCCGCATCCGGCGCCGGCGCCGCTGCGTCCGGCCACCCCGGCAGCAGGCTGCTGCTGCCGCTGGCGTCGGAGGCTGCGGCCGCAGCGCCGTCAAACTGCGAGAATGGCTGCGCCTGGGCCCAGGCTGCCGCACCTTGAGCGGCGAGAGCGGCAGAGGGCGGCGCCGCCGCCTGGGTGGCGGTCAGTGCTGCAGAATCCCATTGGAACTGATCCAGCGCCCAGGGGATGTGCAGCAGGGCCTGGGAGGGAGCCATCATGAGGCGCGGCGAGCCCTGAGCCAGCGCGAGAGCGGCACCAGCGGCGGCGGCGGCGGCGCCAAAGGCGGGTCGGTCGCCGTCGGCGCTCGGCGCGGCCGGGGCGGCCGCCTGCTGCAGCCAGGAGGCGCCTGCAGTCGCAGGGCGCGGGGGGCAGAGGTTCCTAGGTTGCTGGAGCTGCTGCAGAGAGGTGGGGGCAGCACAGGAGTCCCGCGCAGGGCTGCCCCAAAAGGGTGGCTGCCTCCCCTGGCCACCGCTGCTCACCCTGCATCCTGCTGACCTCGTGCACAGGAAGGCGGGGCAGGGGTGCTCTCAGTGAAAGCGTGAGCTTTCTTCGAGCCACAACAGTCAGACAACGCTCCTTGTTGTTCAAAGTAGCCAGGCTCAAGGCCAATATCCACACAGCAACTTGCTGTTGCAACTTGCTGTTGAACACCAGATTGACACAGGCTGGAGGAGTATGCTGCCGGGGCGCTCCTGCCAGCGGCTGCCCAACTGAGGCTGGACATTCCATCCCCTGCAACCCCTTCTCTCTCCACATTTCTTCGTCACACGGAGCCTCGGGGAAGTGCTGGTCCAACAGCAGGTGCAGCAGTCACGTGGGGCGGCGACGCAGCAGGGCAGAGCCTGCGGCCTAGTGCTGCGCGGGCCACAGCCTGACATGCTGTCGCAAGCTGCCATGTGCTCCATGAAGCCATGAGAGTCACCGAGTGAAAAGACAGGAGCCTTCGGGATGAAAACTTGTGTTGTTGAGCAGGCAGCCTCAAGGGGCGAGCGGCGGCGGCGGGCCTGCGGCGGGCAGCGGGGGGAGGGGGGGGGGGGGGAGGCGGGCTGCGAGTGCAGCGTCACCGCTCGCCGCATATTCGTCCGTGAGGCATGTGAAGGGCAGATGGACACGCAGAGGGGCAGCACAGACGGATGGAAGTCACCCATGGGCGGCAGGAGCGTTCCTCGACCTTCAACCTGGCCACTGCCACGTGCCAAATACTACTTGGGCCACATGAATGTGACCACTGCACTGCTAATCAAAGTTCTAAGGCGTCCGTGGTTCCAGCGACAGACCCTTCCCGCACAAACAACGTTTGCCCTGCCCACGCTCCCCAACCCAGACAAGCCAGCCCCCTCAACTCTTCCCAGCAATCATACCTGCGACTAGTCGTCACAATGAACACAGCCCGCGCGTCCCGCGCGTGGCCCTCGTCCACGCCTGCCCGGCCGCCACCGCCGACTGCGCTCGAGCAGGTAGGGCCGGCTCCCGGGAGAGTTCCTGTCGCCCTGCCCGTGCCTCCCCCTTGCCCAACACCACATCTCCCACTGCCTCTGACACCGTCCATTTCTCTCCTCACCATGTGCAGGCACAGCACAGCCTGCTCCAGCAGAAAGCAGCAGCGCACATCATACTTCTGAAGCTGGCTTCTGCACTGGAGTGGCAGCGGAGCAGCGCCGAGGCCAGCCAGCTGGACAGCAAACGCCTGCTGACCTTCGTGTTCGGCAAGTCCCAGCAGCTGGCACAGGAGCAGGCGGCAGCAGATGCCCAGGTGGCGGCGCTCAAGCACCAGCTGCAAGCGGCGAGGTGGCAGGTGGCGGCCTGCAAGGCGCGCTGCAAGAAGCTGGCGTTGCAGCAGCAGCAGCAGGAGCCGGCGGATGCCTCCCCGCAGCAGGGGGCGGGTGTGAAGCTAGCTGCATGCCACGTGGAGGAGACAGAGGCGGCGGCAGCAGTCAAGCCGAGCATGAAACGCCAGCCGCCATTTGCGCTCCCCAGCATCAACGAGGAGGCGGCGAGGCGGCGGCCTGTCACCCCGCCCGCTCCCTGCCGGCGGCCGTTGCTGTTAATGCACTGAGCGTTCCGTTGAACCTTCAGCATGGCGATTGTAAATTACGAGTGGACAATGCGCTGCACGGCGCTTCCCATAGAGCTGCATGGGTGGGGCTGGCAGTCGTGTTGCGGCGCGCAGCCAAAAGTTCAGCGTGAGTGCAGGGCGTCGGTGACCTGCCGCCCACGCAGGAGCCGCCATCGGCTCGCTCTTGGTTTGCGTGTGTGCTCAATGAACTGGTGCATGAGATCGATTGTGCGAGACCAGGAGCCTGCCGTGTCTGATGGCAGCAGTCGGCGGTGGCGGCAGCATGGCCCGCGATTGCAGCATGGCGCCACCACTCGCCGCACAGTCTTCTGTGATGCTCTGAACAGTAGAGGATACGCAGTGCAGCAGAATGGAGCAGTAGCATGGACGTCACCACGGGCCGCGGGAACGTTCCCTGCTGGGAAGCTCGCCCGCGTTCAAAGTCACTGCTACCTGCAGTCTACCCTCTTCCTGCACCCTCTGATGAACACAGTCCACATAGACCAGGCGTGCCCCTCGACAGCGCAGCCACCGTCTGCGCTGGCGCAGGCGGCAGGCGGGTCACCAGAGGCTGGGCTCTTCCGTCTCCCCTTGCCCACGTTAGATGCAAAGTCCGTGTTACAGTGGGTGCTGGCCAGATAGAGCAGAGCTGGAGGGGAGCGCCGGGCAGGGAAGGGGCCACGCAATAGCATGCCGCCCCCGCCGCAGCCGGAACTCCAAGCGGCGCAGCCGCAAGGGTTCGATGCGGCAGCAGAGAAGCCGCTGCGGTGGCAGGCAGGAACGAACATCCGTGCGGCGGCAGAGAAACTGAAGTGCTGCTTTTGTGGAAGGAAGAATTGTTGCTGTGGTGCCGCAGGAGCCGTGGGGGTGGAAAAAAATCATCAAATACGGGGAGGGGGAAAGCAGCGGTTGAGAGGAGGGAAACTCGGTGGGGGCGAGGAACAGAACACGTGAGAGCAGGGAAAGAGAAGGGTGTTAGGTAAGCGGGTCGCCTGTTGCAGCGCAGCGAGGGAGGCAAGAGAGACAGGTGGGGGATTGGGTGCGAGGGGCGGCAGCACGCGCCGGCCTCCAGCCCGCAGAATGGGCGGCGGGGGGCGTGGGCGCAGGCGTGGCGCGCCGCCCCCCATGGCTGGCCAGCCTCAGACAGCACTATTGGACCTGATCAGGTTCTGCTGCTGCTGCTGCTGCTGCTGCTGCTGCTGGTAGGCGCCCGTCAGGTGCTTGTTCACGGGGTAGGGCCCCGCACCCGGCGCCGCCCCGGGGTATGCCGTGGGCGGCGGCGGTTTGGCCTGCAGCAGCACGGCAGCGCGGGTTGGGGCTCGGGCGCCGCGCAAGAGAGGGCTGCTCCCAGGCGGCTGGCTGGCTGCCAACTGAACAATGCAGATGTGCACGGGGCAACGCGCCCGACTGCCAAAAACGAAACACAAGCAGCAGCACCAGCACCAGCCACGGCGAGGCTGGCGCCCCGCCCTGCCCACCTGGTGGTGGTGCATGTAGCCCGAGGCGTCTGTGGGGAAGCCGCTGTGCGCGTCAATCATGCTCATCTTCTCCACAGAGCTCCCCAGCTGCGGCGGCGCGCGGGGCGGGCAGCAGAGGTCGGCAAGGGTCAGCGGGGGCCAGAAAGGGCGAGCAGCTGGGCATGCAGGCGTGGTGGGTGGGGGGAGCGGCAGGCAGGCCATGCGGGGGTTCAGCCAAGGCCCCGCTGCAGGTGCCTGGGCATGCAGGCGCGGCGAGGTGGAGCAGCACGCAGCGACGGCAGCGGCGGCGGCGGCAGGCGGCGGCGCGCGGCGCCCCCTCACCATCTCCACCGCCCCCTCCATGTCTACAGAACTCCCGTAGGGGTAGGCGGCGGGCTGGGCGCCGTAGCCGCCCGGCGGCGGCGGCTGCGCGGCATACGGCACGCCGAGCCCCGCGCCGCCGGCGCCGCCCGGCTGGCTGCCGTACGCGGTGGCACCCACCACGCCGCTCATGTGCTGCGTGCCGCGCTGCGCCGCCAGGTACTTGGCAGCTTCCGAGCGGAACTCGCTCACCCGCTCGCGCGGCAGGCTGGTGGCCTGGCCCAGGTTGGGGTTGGCCTGCCCGCGCCCGCCCGCCTCCAGGTGCGCAAACTGGCGCTTGAAGTTGTCCACCGCAGACGGGTAGACAAAGTTGGGCTGCAGGCGGGCGGCGGGGGAGCGCGTGTGGCGGGGCGGGGTTGGCGGGCAGGGTGGTGGTATATGGCTATGCCTCTGGCAGGGAAGCGCAGCGGCACGGGCAAGCAGGCAGGCGGGCGGGCAGGCAGCCGCAGCAGCAGGTGCTGCGGCCCACCGCCACACCCCACACGCCTCGCACCTGCCGGTGGCCGCCCGCCAGGTAGTCGGCCAGCATCTGGGGGTGGTACTCCAGGATCTCACGGTAGATCAGATCCCGTACCTGCGGTACCGCAGGCAGGCAGGCGGGCAGGCAGGCAGGCGGGCAGCGCCAGCAGTCGGCACACCGGGCCAACCACCCTGCTTGCGCCGGCAAGCAGCACGGCCGTCCCCGAGAGCAGCACAGCCGCACCGCCTGGCCAGCAGCGAAGCCAGCCATGCCGCTCGGCGCCGCCAGGCAGCAGCGCCCGCGCCCTCCCTCCACCAGCACCAGCCGCACCTCCTCCACCACCAGCTTGCGCCGCTCAAACTCAAACGCCAGCTTGCTGATGGGCTGGGCGCTGGGCTCGCGGCTGGGCTGGCTCAGCCCGGCAAAGTAGGGGTCCGCCAGCGCCTCCTCTGCAGGCAGGCGGGCAGGCAGCAGGCAGGGCAGCGGGGCACGCCAGTCGGCAGACAGGCAGGCAGGCAGGGCCACACAGCAGGCGGGGCAGCGTCCGGGCCGGCAGCCGCTTTGGATGGCAGCCGACCGGCGTGTGGACTTGCCCCGCCCTGCCTGCCCCTGCCCTTAGTCGGCCCCTGCTGCTGCGCTCCCTCCTTTCCTCCCTCCATCTGCAGCCGGCAAGGCGGTACGCTCACCCGCGGTGGGGCGCTCGGCGGGGTCAAAGGCCAGGAGGCGCCACAGCAGGCGCAGCGCGCCCTTGTCCGCCTTGGGGAAGTACTGCTCAAACGGGATGCCCGGCTTCTTCCGCATGTTCATCAGGAAGCGGCGGGCCTTCTCGTTGCGCACCTGCGCGCGGCACGGGGCAGCGCAGGCAGACTGTTGGGCAGACTGCGGGTTGCATGCGAGCGGCGACGCGCGCAGGGGCGGCGAGGCGCAGAGGACGGGCCGCACGGGCGGGCGCGCGGCCTGCGGGCAGGCTGGGCGCGGCGCGGCCCCCGCCGGCGCACGACAGCAGCCCCGCCCACCTTTGCGATGACCTCCGGGCTGGGCGTGCCCAGCAGGTCTGTGATCAGCTCCAGCTGGTGCACCACGTTGCGCCCCGGGAACAGCGGCTTGCCCAGCAGGATCTCGGCAAAGATGCAGCCAATGGACCAGATGTCAATGGCGGGGGAGTACTTGGCGAAGAAGGAGCCGCAGAGCTCGGGGGCGCGGTACCAGCGCGTTGCCACGTAGTCCGTCCAGAACACGGTCTGGGGCATGTCGTTGAAGGCGGGGCGGGCCAGACCGAAGTCGCAGATCTTCAGCTTGCAGTCGGAGTTGGCCAGGATGTTCTTGGGCTTGAGGTCGCGGTGGAACACCTGCGAGTGGAGTGCGGTGCAGGTGGGGCAGCAGCAGGCTGAGGCGGGGCAGCAGGCCGAGGCGCGGCAGCGGCCTTTGGAAGGAGGAGTGGGCAGCTGCGGCGGGCTGGCGAGAGAGAGGGGGGCCTGGGAGGTGGCAGCGGAGGAGGAGCTGCACCCTGGAGAGGGCCGCCTGCTGCCCGCTGGCTGAGGCGGCGCCACGCGTCCGCCACGGCCCGGCGTCCACCACGGCCCGGCCCAGCCCGGCACGCACCTTTGCCGAGTGGATGTACTTCAGGCCGCGCAGCATCTGGTACAGGAAGAACTGGTGGTGCTCGGGGGTGAGATCGTCGTTGGCCTTGATCACCTGCAGTAGACAGGCAGGCAGGCAGGCAGGCGCAGCCAGGAGGAACGCAGAGGCGCGACCTGGCTCAGCGGGGTGCAAGAGCGCGGCGGCCGCGCCGGAATGGCATGGGGCAGCGGACCACGCAGGGGGGCCGGCACGAGTTGCCGTAGCTGCAGCCACCCGCAGCAGCGTGCCGCGGCGTCCACAGCCCAGCCGCCAAGAGCTGCACGTGGTGTACACGGCCGTAGCAGTCCCCACCAGCCCGCACACGCCCGCGCACCCCACCCACCGCCCCGCACCTGGTGCAAGTCAGTCTCCATGAGCTCAAACACGACGTAGATGTCCTTGAACTCGCGGGCCGAGGGCGGCAGCATGATGTGCTTGATCTCCACAATGTCCGGGTGGCGCAGCAGGCGCAGCAGCTTGATCTCCCGCAGGATGCGGGTCGCGTCTGCGGCGGCGGCGGCGGCGTGGAGGGGTGGTGGGTGTGGGCATGGTGGTGGTGGTGAGGGAGGGCGAGGCGAGGATGAGGGAGGCCACGGAATGTGCCAGGGGGGCCGCACGTGCAGCTGGTGCGGGCGACGCAGCCAGCAAGCAGGGCGTGCAGGCCGCACGACGGCCGGGCACAGCAATGCGGCAGCAGCGGCGAGGCATGCGTGGCAGAGCAGCGCACCTGACACGTGGTCAAACACATTTGTGATCTTCTTGATCGCTACCTTCTCGCCTGCAGGCGGGGCAGGGCAGGGCAGGGAGGATTGTGTGGACGCTCGTTCCTTGAAGTGCGGCAGCCGCGGCGGCGAGCAGGTGAGCAGCAACAAGCTGCGCGACGCCAAGCTGCTGCTGCTGGCACGCCACGGCTGATGGGCAGCGCGATGACATGGACAGGCGGCAAACAAGGCAAGCGTGCCCAAGCTTGCCCACGCCGAGGCCAGCTTTCATGCACAGCGCAGCACCCTGCCACGCATTCGCCGAGGGCTGCCGCAACCCGCGCTGTGGATGCCGTGGTACCATGGCGGCACGAGCATGTGGCGCACAAAGCACTCGTCAGGCCTATCAGCCAGCCACGCACCTGTGAACTGGTCGACCGCGGAGGCGACCACGCCGTAGCTGCCCTTGCCGATGACCTCAGACAGCTTGTAGCGCTGGGCCTCAGTGGCCTCTGCAAAGAATTCCCGCTGGTCCATGGCGCGGGGCCAGGGCTAGGCTGGGCGGAAGCCCCTGGCTCAGGCTGCGCTCGCCGCGCGGTTGGCCTCGCCTGCAAGGGCGGGGCGGGGCGGGCGGCCTCGGTCAGCCCGGCGGCGCTCCAGCCCCAAGCCCAGGGGCAGTGCCGGCCCCTCTGGAGCGCTCGTGCCAGGGTTGCCGCGGCCCTGCCCAGCCCGTGAAGCAGCAGATGTGCGGCGCCGAGGGTTGCCCAGGGCGTGACTGAGACTGTGGTGGTGCTGGCCGCTCGATCTGTCGCGATGTCGCCTCCCAGGCTGCAGCGAATGCAAGCCCGGGGCGCACCTGGTTGCAGCCTAGCGTCAGGGCGCCTCGTTGGTTGCGGGGCGGCCGACTGTGTGCCGGCGCTGCGTCCCTATCCACCCCACGGCTCGGGGCCACCACCCGACCGCTGAACAACGGTTGCAGGAGGGGCTGGCGGGTGCTGAGGGCTATCGGTTTACTGCGGCATCTCTGCGGCAAGAGGGTCTGGGGGTTGAGGCTGCCGGGAGCAGCAAGTGGGTGCTGAGATAGAGCTGGGCCCGAGAGGAGAAACCTGTGCCAGCGCCAAAGCCGCCCAGCACACAGCAGCAACCAGCTGGCAGATGACCCGCTCCGGTTGCCAAAATCGGGCTCCCCTGCCCCATCGACCCCTGGTTCCTTGCAGAGACCCTAAAACCACATATGGGAACAGATGGGCGGGGCTGGGGGTCACGGCAGCACCGCCGCTTTGGCGAGGGCGGCCGGGCGGGCAAGGTGATATCTGCAGGCCTGCAGGGCTGCCTGCTGATCAGCACCTGTCAAAGTGTCCCGTTGGTGTGAGCAGGCGACATGCCGAGCAGCAGGGCTCCTTGGCTGGGCGGGCTGCGGGATGCCGAGGGCAGCGCCTCACTTGACTAGGGTTTTTCCAGCGCCTGGGGCGAGGGGTAACCTCTCCATACCATGACATAATGTGCCTACACATATACCTCTGCACATGCATTCCCATCATGGTCTCCGCTGGCCATGTGTGTTTACACGTGACAGCAGTGCAGTCTGCCGAGCATTTGGCGCGCCGGTTGAGCAGCAGGGTGCCACTCCGTGGTCGGAAACAAGTCGCTGAGAATCGAGGGGTCGGTGGGAAAACAAGCATCAGATGCATGGGTTGTCAGGAGGGCATCAGCCGGCCCGGGGGGGGGCTGGCAGCGAGGTACATGGGTACATGGGGGGGCCTAGGAAACAACAGAGACGTGTACAACAGATGCAGCTAGAGGGAGGCATTAGTACAACCGAAGGGGGGCATCAGGCACAGAGTATTCAGCACAACGTGAACTGCAGGCCAGGCAGTTGGACGCCCATGGTGCACACCATGGGCACAGTTACGGGGATCGCGCAGCAGACGGCAGGCACCAGGGTTGGATGGGTTGCCACGGGGCAACCATGCATGGGACCCGCGCGCGGTGCCAGCCAGGCCACCCGCCGCAGGAGCTGCCCGGCACGGGGCCCCAGGCTAACGGCGGGCGCTGGGCGCATGCTGCGCCAGCAGCTCCCACAGCGTCTCCCGCAGCTTGCGGTGCTCGCTGTGCAGCATGCGCTGCACCTGGCTGCGGCTGCCAGCCGCGGTGCGGCTGTCGGCGATGCCCGCCGTGCGCAGCAGCGCTCCCTGCGGAACAGATGGTGGGGGCACGGCGCAGGCGGGTGAGCACCACGCGGCCGGCATGCCACGGTGCCCCGGGACTGTGGTGATCCCCGCCAGACAAGCCAAGCCAAGCCATCTGCGCCCGCCACCCCTGCAACCTCAGCCTCCACCTCTGCCTCCCTTCCTGCACTTCGCTGCAGCCCACTCTCCCTCAGCGCCCCCACGCGGAGCAGCCAGCGGCGCGCTCACGTCCACGAAAAAGAGGAAGCGCGGCGCGGAGCGCAGCTTGTAGTAGCGCGCGACGTCGGAGGGCCAGTCCCACGCGTCCTGCATGTCGTGGCGCAGGAAGACGATGCGCGCGCGCTGCTGCCGCGACTCGCGGCACACCGCCTCCAGCTCCCGCAGCACATCCTTGCAGATGCCGCAGCTCCTGCAGCGGGTGGGGCGGCGGCGGCGGCCGGGGCGGGCGCAGGGTGGGGAGGAGGAGGACGACCGGCAGGCGGGCAGGCAGGCAGGCCTCGATGGGCCCGCCTGCCGCGATGGCGAGACCCTCCCGGCTTGTCAGCTGGCCAAACGAATAAACAACTAGCTAAGCAACGATCGCTGCTGGCCGGACAAGGGGGGTTGCGGGATGGTGGGGCATGGGCATGCAGCGGTGCTGACCTGGAGTAGACTGTGAGCACCACCAGCTGGCCTGCTGCCGCCTCCAGCAGCGCCTCGAGGTGCGCCAGCCCCGCCACCTCAATCACGCTGCCCCCCGCCAGGCTGGCAGGCACCGCCGCCAGCAGCTGCTCCTGCGCCTGCTGCCTCTGCCACTGGAGCTCCATGTGGTGCCTGCAGGCGGGGTGCAAGGAGGAGCGTGTGAGGAGAGAAGACTGGGCAGCAGCAGGCGGCAGCACGTGGCGGCACCGGCGGGCAGGGAGGAGCAAGCACCGGCAGTGTCGCAGCCCCTAGCCAAGCGTTGCGAGCGCACCTCCTGTCTATTTGAAAGGCGCTGGGCCGCAGCAGCTGGCCTCTGCGGGCGGCTCGGTTCAAGTGTGGGTGGTTCTGTGCCTGTCTGCATCCTGCGTGGCGCCATAGGCGCTGGCCTAGCTGTTCTGAGGCAGCCAAGGCGCCCGCCATGGTCCCAGCAGGCCCAGAGAGTGCGGAACCGACGGCAAGTGGCAGTCAACTGGAATGAGCTCCCTGTCGCGATATTGTGCAATTCGTGTCAGAACCCTACGCTGGTGCACTGGGGCGGGGGGAAACTTTGCAGATCCGCCTGACGGCGGCGCTCGCATGGCATTTCACGTGCTGCCATGTAGGGCATGATTGATGCATCACCCGCGGCCCACCGGCAGCATGCTCCCATTTTTTGCGTGAACATGACAATGCTAGAGGCCTTGCGGGGCCGGGGGACGTGACGAGCGCGGGTCCATCTTGCCAGCACTATGTCCACCACCAGTGGGACCACCACTCGCACGCTGAAGACACAGCGCTCCCTAGCTCTAGTCCAGTCGTTATTCGCGGCGGCGGCGGGGGAGGACGCAGACAATGAGGGCCTGGGGGCGGCGCCACCGCCGCCGGCGCTCGCGTCGCCCTCCGGCGGCAGCCAGCACGGCAGCCAGGGCCGCACGCTGGCGGGCATGCAGCGCCAGCTGTCCAAGAAGCCCACCCTGGGGCGCCTCACGCGGTCGTCCAGCAGGGCGTGCAGCCTGAGGAGCCTGGGCAGCCTGGAGGGCGACGCCGAGGAGCCGGCCGTGGAGGTGCGCCGCCCGACGCTCGCGTACAGCGGCAAGGCGCACCTGTTGCTGCTGAAGCGCTGCCTGGAGGCTGTCGAAGTGCTGGAGCGCGTGCAGCAGCCGATACGGGCGGTGGAGGCGGTGGGCGAGCCCAAGCCGCCGCTGCCAAAGGCGGCCCTGCGCTTTGCCAAGGTGAGCGACTGCGAGAGAGGGAGGGGCCCGGGGTGTTGTGCTCTGGAGCTGACCAGCCTGCCTGCCACCTGCGTGCTGCCTGCCTGCCCACCTGCGCGCCCTGATTATTGATTCCACTCGAGTAAGGGAGCGCCGCCGCACCTCCTCACTTGGTCTGGCGCAGCCAGGCGGAGGCGCCGCTGCCGGTTCTGCAACATGCATTGTGTGCGTGGCTGGTGCTCTCCCCTGCCCCCGCAGGGCCTGGCCTTCTTCGTGCAGCGGAAGGTCGGGCTGGTGGGCGGCATGGCCTGGGGGCAGGGCTGCGTCATCAGCCGCCTGCCAGACGGCAGCTGGTCGCCGCCCTGCTTCATGCGGCTGCGCCACTGCAGCCTAGGCATCACGTTTGGGCTGCAGCGCACCGAGAGCTGCCACGTGCTGCAGGTGCGGTGGGGTGGGGCGCCGCCGGCGCCAGCCCTGCCGAGGGGCCGGTTTGCACAGCCGATGCAGGAGCCATCACATAGGCTGGGGTGCGGCGTGCTCGGCAGCGCAGCAGGCGCGGCGCCACCTGCCCGCCGGGTCCACAGCATCCAGCCGACTCACACGGTTGATGTATAACTCACACCACATCTCCGCGCCTGCCCGCCCTGGAAACCCGTGCCTCCCCCTGGTGCAGAACACGGAGCAGCTGGCGGCCTTCATGCGCAGCCGCGGCAGCTTTGGGTTTGATGCCGCCATCTCGCAGGATGCAGACCCTTTTGACCCAGAGGCGCCCGCCGGCGGCGTGACGCTCATCATGTGAGTCCTCGCCCGGCTTCCTGGAAGCCTCCCGGCAGCCGCCCGGCAGCCCAGAGGCAGCCCAGGCTGCGGGGCGGCCGCGAGGCGGGCCACGCAGGCTGCGCACAGCTGTCGTCCCGCGAGGGAAGGAGCGGCCGGCTCGAGCGTTTGCTGGTCAGAGTGGCTGGTCAGAGCGTGGGAGAGCGTGGGCAGCACAGGCTGATCGCGCTCGCTCCCGCGCCTGCCCGCCGCTCCGCGCTGCGCGGGCCTGCAGGCACCGCGACGGCGTGGCCAGGGGGCGCAAGATGCGGCCTTACTGTGCCATGGTGTCCGACGGCGCCATCTGGGATCTGTCCGTGCGGGGTGGGTGGCCGGCCGCCGCCCGCGCGCCCGCAGCCGGGAGCAGCAGCGGCACGTGACGGAGGCAGCCGCGGCCCCATGCCCTCCCTCCCTCCCTCCCTCGCCCCCTCCCCCAGCTATCTCCCCTGCCCTCTGTTCCGTGCCCTGCCTTCCTTTTCAAACACCCCGCCACCCACCAAGCAACACAGCACCCCCACCCGCTGCCTGCCCTGTCCCTGCGCAGGCGGGTACACGAGGGTGGACCGCAGCCTGAACTGCCTGGTGTATGGCAAGGGGGTGTCCCGTCAGGAGATTCTGGAGGGCCGCGTGGCGCTGCCGGCAGAGTTCTGCGCCCTGCACGACGCGGTGGAGGCGGCGGCGGCAGAGGCGCAGGTGCGGCCTGCCGCAGCACCTGCCGCGCCTGCCTCAGCGCTGGCCGCCGCGCCGGCTGCTGCGCTGGGCCCCCAACACTACATCTGTTGGCGGGGCCCGCATGCCTGCCCCGCTCGCGCGCTGCGGCCCGGCCCCTGCCCCCTGCCGCCTGCTGCCTCACTCCTGCTCCGCCTCCCTGCCCCTGCCGCCTGCTGCCTCACTCCTGCTCCGCTTCCCTGCCCCCTGCCGCCTGCTGCCTCACTCCTGCTCCGCCTCCCTGCCCCACCCACCCCCTGGCTGCCGCAGCTGTCGCTGCCCACCGTGAGCAAGTACCAGATGGCTCGCCAGAAGTCGCTGCAGACGCTGGGGCGGGTGTCCGCCAGCGTGGTGACCCCCAAGACCGCCACCAACGTCATCATGCGCATGCGCCTCATGAGGTGGGTGGGCTGGGGGTCTGCGGGTCTGCGGGGCTGAGCACAGGGGCAGGGCAAGGCAGGGGCAGTGCAAGGGCAGGACAGGGCAGGGCAGGGCAGGCGCCGCAGCCGAAACCGCAGCCAGCTCGCACGCCCGGCGCGCAGCCAGGCGCCGCGGCGGCGGTGCATGGGGCAGGCAGGGGCATCTCAGCGCGGCGAGCCCCTCGCCGTCTCTCCCCACCACCGCCAGCAAGCCCCGCCACCGTCGGTCCCACCAGGCGCGGGCGCCTCACCGCCTCCCCATCCCGCAACCCCTTGCAGAGCTGAGATGTACCAGGAGGCCAGCCGGGCACATGCCGGCGACGGCGAGGCCGAGTTCTGGACGCTGCCGCCGCCGCCGCCGCCCCGCCCCAGCATCACCATCCCCATGGCGCTGCCCCGCGGCGACTTCAGCGCCGGCGGCGGCACGCAGCGCAGCAGCGGCGGCAGCAGCGGCGCCACCACCTACTCCTCAGCCAACAGCCCCTGCACCACGCTGGAGCCTCCAGGCGCGCGCGGCGGTGGCGCGGGCAGCCTGGCGGCCGCCGCCGCCGCGGCAGACGGCAGCTTTGGCAGCGGCAGCGGCGGCGGCGGCGGCGGCGGCCTCTTTGGCGGCGCCGACGGCTTCAAGCTCTTCAATGACGTGACCATCGGCTTCCAGGAGCGGCACACGTATGCCAAGCAGGAGGAGGAGGAACCGGTGGCTGTCGGCGGCGACGGCGACGGCCTGTTTGGCGGCGCCTCCGACTTCAAGCTCTTCAACGACGTAACCATCGGGTTCAAGGAACGGCACACGTACGTGCTGCAGGAGGAGGAGGAGCAGCAGCAGGTGCAGCAGCAGCGGGAGGAGGAGGCTGCGGCGTGACGGCGGCGGCGGCCTCGATGGCCCCCTCGCCACCGCCTCCGCCACGCTCCGCTGCAGCCCGGCCAGCTGGGTAACGCATGCACATGGCGCACGCTTCATCTAACTTATTGGGGAGTTTTGGCAGCTCACATTCTCACCAGTAGACCTCCTTTACTCAACCTTTTGCAGCCTCGTGCAGGCCGCACTCTTGCTAGCTGTCTTCTCTCTTCTTGCTGCGAACCCACCCTTTCTGAGTGCTGAGCGCGCACAGACGCACGCACCCAATTCTTTTCCCCTAGCACTCTTGCGCCGTCGCCACCAGACGTCCGACACTGTATTTTTGGGCCCCCTCTGCCCCCACCACCGCCGCTGCCCTCTGCCGACGCATGCCCTGCCCCGCTCAGTGGCGCCCCTTCCAGCTTGCAGAGGCTGACCTGATTGATTCGCCGCTGCTTTATGCTCTTACATCACTCACCTGTCTCTACCCGCGGAGCAGCATTGCACACCTGCCGCCGCACATTCAATAATGGTATCCGCCCTGACGTCCAGCCTGCCTCCTATCGATTCTGTAACCTTGCTTACAGCAGTTGAGCTGCATGCACGGGCGTTGCGTGGTTCAGACAAGAGTGCTCAGGCTGCGCTTGACAGTGTACAGGCAGTAAAAAATGTCAGGTAGGGGCAGGAAGGGATTGATAAATCTCAGGGGGCGTTGGGCTAATGAAAGAATAAAGCCGCAAGCGGCTACGAAATGGCAAGGGTCAAATGGGCGCTGCGAGTGCCGCTGGAAGCTTGGACAAATGGCGGCATTGCTGCATGGCGGCTGGGCGCGCGGCCGAGCTCTACCCATCCCGCCGAGCTCGTCACTCTAGGCGGCAAACAGCACGACGGTGGCTCCCAGCATGGCGACCACGGTGGCGACCAGGAAGGGCAGGGCGGGGACGGAGGAGGCGGTGGAGGCGCGGTCCTTGGCCACAAAGCCCCTGTCGGTGTACTCGCCCTTCACGTCCACCCAGTCCTTCCAGTAGTCTGCAGGAGAAGGGGAGATGGGATGAGGGCGGGGCAGGAGGCGAGGCAGCAGCAGGCAGCAGGATGGGGCAGCAAGGAAGCAGGCGGCGGAGGGCGAGCTTGGCCCCCGCAAGACGGCGCCACAGCCCAGCGGCAGCCCGGTCGGCGCTGCGGCGAACAAGCACTAGAAGCAGTCAATCGGAACGTTTCAAACTTCGTTTCAATAAACGGCGCACCCTTGGCGGTGCCGACCACCCGCCGCTTCAGCGCGCCGTACTGCTCCTTGGTCATCTTGCCACTCTCGTCCCGCCGCCCGTACTTGGCATCGTACAGCAGTTCCGCGTCGGAGGTGGACCGCACCTGAACAAGGGAGAATCGGTTGAGCAAGTTCAGGAGGCGACGTGAGCGCAGGCTGGGCGGCGGCGGGCATGCGCATGCGGCACATGCATTGCGCCTCCCTACCTCGGCAAAGTCCAGCGCGCTCACTGCGCGGCTGAGGAGGCCCTGGCGCTTCCTGCAAACAGGCACGGCACGGCGGCAGCAGGGGGTGGGTGGGCACGCAGGGTGCATCGCCCTCAGGCGCCGGCACCCCGGCCGCGCATCAGCCCAGGCGGCGGCGGCGGCGGCAGCAGCAGCACCCAGCCAGCCAGACTCACTCGTACTCGGCTGCCTTGTCAACAGCCATGCTGCTGCGCTTCTGCTGCTTGGCGGCGGCCGGCTGCTGCTTGGTGGTGGTGGCGGCGCGGCCGAACAGGCCGCGCTTGGCGGGCGCCGGTGGCTCCTCAACTGCGACGGCTTTCTTGGTGGCGAACAGGGCGCGGGGTGCAATGCGGCCGGCGCTGCGCATCTGGATGGGCCGCTGCTGGGTCAGGCTCGCGGCGCCCAGGCTGCTGCTGCTATGTTTGGCCATCTGCGTGTTCATTCTGCGTGCGGTGCGCTATTTGTGCACTTAGCCGGGCGAAAAATGCACGATTATAGGCTGGAAATGGATTTGTGTGGCTTGAATTACTGTTGCTGTGGCGATTTTTGTCAGAATACAAGGCGCGCGCAAGCGGCAGTACTGGCCGTACGGCGTCACAAGGCGCCGGCACGGCCTGAGCAGCAGAGCACATGCTTGAGCCGGTCAGAAGATGATGTCGGCATCTGCTGCCTGGTCCAGCACGTTGGCCGCCTTGTTCTGGCTGGGCGGCGCCGCGGTGCCGTTTTCGCCCTTGCGCCGCGCCGCCTCGATCGCCTCTGCCAGCTCAGCGTGCTTCTTCTTGTTGCTCTGCACCTTCTTCAGCCGGAAGAACTCCTCGCGCTCCAGCTCGTCCAGCTCGCCCTGCAGCAGCAGCCAGGCAAGGCAGGGTCGGCGCTGGCACCCCGCGTTTGTCATCGCGCGCTGTGTCGCGGGATTCGGCAGCCTGTAGAGATTCCCCTCTGGCAGGGCCAAGGAAGATAGCTCCAGCCAGCCATCCAGCTGGCCGCAGGCGGCGCCCATCCAGCTGGCTCCAGCCACCCCGCCGCCCATCCAGTCCAGCTGGCCGCAGCCGCCACCCAGCCACCCACCTTGATGTAGGCAATCGTGTTCTCCAGCCGCGGCTTCACCACGTGCTCCAGCGCATTCACGCGCCGGTTGGTGGTCTTGATCGCCTCGTCCAGCGTCAGGAAGGCGGTCTGCAGCGAGGCCAGCTCCACCAGCAGGTCCAGCGCCGTCATGAACGACTTGCTGCATGGGGGGGAGGGGGCAAGGGGGTGGGGGTGGGGATGGGGATGGGAGGGAGAGATCAGCAGGGTGGTCGGGTGGGGTGGCCGGGTAGCGACAGAGCAGGGGGTGCAGCCCGCCACAGCGAGATGCGGGGCCCACGCAACATCGCCAGCGTGTTGTGTGGGGGGTGACCCAATGCCAGCACAGCAGGCATGCCAAGCACCCAGCATGCAGGCAGCGAGGCACGCATGCAGGCAGCGGTTCGCGAGCGAACAGCCGGCGGGCAGCCAGGCGCGCCGGCGGCCGCGCACCGGCACTCCTGGATCTGCTTGCCGCCGGTGCCCAGCCCGATGAGGCCCAGCTTGCTGTCCTGCCCCTCCTTCACGCTCTCAAACTTGGGCAGCTTCACGCCTGCCACGTTGTCGGTGCTGGCCTTGACCTTGATGGACGCCTGCAGGCCGGTGCGACGCAGCGGGCGCGCGTGTATGAGCGGGCGAGTGGAGAAGGAGAGGAAGAGAGAGGCGCGAGGGGTGGGGTGGCAGGGTGGTCGGGCGCGGGCCGCGCGACGGGCTGCGGCGGCGGCGCCAGGCACGGCTGGCCGCACATCCGCGCGTCGGCTACCCCAGGGCCCGCCCCGCATGCAACGACACGACGAGCACAAAGCGGTGGTCAGGTTCTCGATCCGCCTCTCGCCCCGCGCCACACCCCACCTGGTCCACCGAGTCAAACACGGTGTGCTTGAAGTCGCCGGTGGCGTACTTGGCCTGGGCCAGCGAGAAGAAGGAGGCCTTCATGACGCGCCCCATCTCCTCCTTGGTGTCCACAATCTTTTTGAGGATTTGGCGGAACCGCATGTTGAGCGCATCCGCCTTCTTCTTCAGCAGCGAATGGCCTGCGGCGGTGAAGGGGGAGGGGTGCGGCATCGGGTGGGGAGGGGAGCGAGTAGGGGGGAGAGTGCTCAGGGTTGGCGCAGGGTTTGGGGATATGGAAGGGGAGAGGGCGGGGGATGCGGGGTGGTGGTGCAGGGCTCGAGCTGCGGCTGCAGCGCGGGCCGCTTGTGGCAGGCAGCAGCAGGCCCGCGTTGGGGCGGAGAGGGCAGCAGGGTGTGCCGACACGAGCCACTGCTGCGAGGCGCACCCTTGGTGGCGCCCGCCAGCCGCCCCTTCATCACCGCCAGCACCGACACCGTCGGTGTGACGGTGTACCTGCAGCCAGTGGCAGCGCGGACAAGCAAGCCACAGTCAGCTGGCTGTGGGGTGGCACCAGCAGGGCGCCCACCGCCTCGCCCGCTTCCGGCGGTCGGCAGCCCTGCACGGCCCTCTCCCGGCGGCCCCCGCGCCGGCCCACTCGCCTATTTTGCGTGGACATGGTGCCCCGCCTTGCTGCTGCCGCTCAAGGGAGCTGGGGTGGGGTTCTGTGCCCTCGACCCGCCGCGATCTCCCCGCCGCGGCGGCCTAGCTCTGCAGCCCTGCGCTGATCTGCAGTCCTGCCGCCAACCACGGCTGCCGACCGAGCACAGGCAAAGCAAGGCTAGGTCTTTAGGGGGGTCAGCGTCGTGTGCGAGAAGCTGCACCTGCCCTATCTTCTTCTCAAAGTAAGTTGACACCTGTGCCACCCACACGGCCATTCCGACTTGGGCTTGGATGTCCGCGTGGCACCCTCGATGCAAAATGCTCTCGAGCCTTTATGCCTGCCTCATCGGGCATTGACATCGCGATCTGCACAACTGTGCAATACATCTGAGCCGTCCATGAGGGTCTTTGATTGAGCTCATAGCCTGAGTTCGATCAGCATGGCGGTGGAGGTGCCGCTGTGTTTGGTGGAGCAATTAGCGCCCATACTCGAAGTGGGGGTTGATGGCGAGTCCCCAGCCTGCTTCCAATTCAAGCCCCTGGCAGAGGGGACGGCCCGAGCGGGGAAAAGCGAGGTGCACCAGAACAGCAGCGCCTCGCGGTGCCTGGTGTGGCAGCTGGAGGGCGGCGCGCCCAGCCAGCTGCGACTCCAGGAGGTCAGCGTGTGCGAGGAGCGGCGAGAGGGCGGCGCGCGGCTCCGCTTTGCCGCGCCGCTGCTGCCCGCGGTCAGCTGCACCGAGTCGGCGCAGCACGGCGGCACGCTGGTGGCCGTGGTGAGCGCCGACGGCGCGCTGCACACCATCCGGCACAGCAGCAGCCAGGCGGCGGGCGGCGCCAGCCTGCTGCGCCAGCTGCAGGCGCCCGGCGCGGTGACCAGCGTGCCGCTGGCGCCGCTCTTCCAGCGGGCAGGGGAGCCCACAGCCCTGCTGGAGGTGGGCGGCGTTGTGTGCGTGGGCACGCAGGAGGGCAACCTGGTGTGCCTGCCCGCCGGCAGCACCGACGCCGCAGACGCCTTTGTGCTGGCGCCCACCAGCGGCTTTGGCAAGGTGTGTGGGCCGATGCGGCGACGCTTGTTCGGGGCGCAGGGCTGCTGCAGCGTCTGCCCCGCATGTAGCGTCGCGCTGGGAGCCGCCTGCGCCCGGTGTGCTGCCTTGCCCGCCTCGCCTCGCTGCGTACCTGCCATACCGCTCCCATCCGCTGCTGCGCCATGCCTTGCAGATGCTGGGTGGCTTCTTCGGGCGCCCCACCGGCCAGGCGGTGCGCCAGCTGCTGGAGCTGCGATTCATGGACCGCCGCCTGCTGGCCGCCATCCACGAGGGCGGCCAGCTGCGCCTGTGGGACCTGCCCACGCGCAGGTGAGAGGAGGGGACGCTTGCGGCTGGCTGCTCCTGCCTTCTCCCACCTGCAGCCACCCTGCCTGCCTGCCCTGCTTGCCTGCGGGCATGCGCCTGCTGCCCTGCTCGGCAGCTGGCTGGCAATGAGCGTATCCCCTGCCTGGCTGCCCACCTCCCGCCCGCACATCTCCTGCAGGCTGGTGCACTCTGCAGACCTCCTGCCGGCCAGCATGAGCGGGGAGTGGGTGCCGACGCTGGCGCGCCTGACAGGTGGCTTCCGTGCAAAGCGCTTGCTGCCACGCCGCGCGCCACGTGCGCACACACCCACCAGCCTGCCTGCCTGCCCGATGCTGCTGCAGCCGAGCCTCTGGATGCCTCCACCTCCATCCTCCTCGTCTACTTCTCACCCAGCGAGGAGGCCAGCCCCGAGGCAGGCATGCTGACCACCTACGAAGTGTTCCTGGAGCAGCGCGGGGAGGGGGCGTACAAGGCAAGCCAGCCGGCTGGGCCACGTCGCGGGCCTGGCGTGCGTGCCGCGTGCCCGCCAGCCCCCGCCCCTCGCCTCCTCCCACCCTTCTCTCCCGCCGCCCGCTGCCTTCTGCTCTCAACCCCTCCATCCTTGGCCCTCACCTCGGCTGCTCACCCCCTGAGCACTCACTCACCCCCACACACACACGTGGCTGCACGGTACCGCGCTGGTCCCGCAGGTACTGGTGGAGCTGGGCCCGCGGCTGCAGGGTTCCGTCCACCGCCTGCACGACCTGGTACTGGAGAATGTGGCCCTGCACACTGTGGGCGCCTGGCTGCTGTATGAAGACGCACAGGGGCGGCGGCGGGTGGACTGCGTGTCGCTCGCCTTCCAGGGGGGGGCCCCAGAGTCAGGTGGGGAGGGGGGCGTGGGAGGGAGGGCAGGAGGGCGAGGGCGCTCGAGGCCTGATGCCAGTGTTGTTTGTGCTGGGACCCCAGCGGGCTGCATGCACGGCACCATGTTGATTGCAGGCATTGAATGCATGCAACAGCCTCTGGCAATGCAGCGCGGAGCCGGCCGCGCATGCGTGCGTTCTGCGTGGCTCACGAGGCTCCCCTTGCCACCCTTGCTCATCCCGCATGCGCTCCATTCGCCTGGCCTGCCTGCCTGCCTGCCTGGTGCAGCGACCCAAGTGACCCTGCTGGAGGAGCAGCTTCTGGACGGCTGCCAGGCTGGCCAGGCGGTGCAGGTGGCGGGCGAGGCGTGGCGGGCGCTGGAGGCGCAGCTCAACGGCGGCGCGACGCCGGCGCTGGGCCCCGCCGCCCTGGCCGCCGCCTGTGCGGACGCGGTGGTGGCTCCGGGGCGGCTGTCGCGGCCCGCGCTGCTCGCCGCGCTGGGCCTGTTGGGAAGCCGCGTGGAAGCTGAGGAGGTGGCCCAGGCGGACCTGGCTGAGCTGAAGGAGCAGCTGCCGCGCTGGGTGGCGGCCACGGCGCAGCCGGCGGGACCGATCGGCGGTACCGCGGGCGGCGCACTGAGCGGGGTGCTGGCCAAGTGGACCGCCTTCCAGGAGGCGTACGCAGCTGCCTGGCAGCTGCAGCACGCCCCCGTGGCGCTGCTGCAGGTGCCGCCGCAGGGCGAGCCGCACTCCTTGCTGGTGGCTCGCCAGGGCGGCATGTTTAGCGTGCTGCGCGGCGCGGCGGCGCCCGAGCTGGCGCTGCACGACGAGCTGCCGCCCGCGTGGCAGGCGGCGGCGGAGGAGGAGTCGGAGCAGGCAGCGGCGGCGCTGCGCGCGGCGGGGGCCCTCGAGCGGGCGGCCGGCGGCGGACAGCTGACGAGGCGAGGCGCCGCCGCGCGCTCCTGCACCCCGCATGCCTGCTTCGGAAGGAAGCCACCCCGGGGCAGGCAGGGCGTGTAGGGTTTGCCCGCTGATGTGGAGAGTGCCTCCTGTAAGCAGCTCCCATCCCCTGCCTGCAGGCTGTTGTGGGCGTGCATGCGGGAAGGCCTAGACCTAAGTGCCACTGTGCTGCCAGCTGTGGTGCGCAGCGTGGCTGGCGGCACGGTGGGCGCGCCGCCCGCGGCAGCCGCGGGCGGTGGCCGCCTCGGCTTCCCCGGCGGCGGCGGCGGCGGCGGCGGCGACGCGCGGGCCGTCTGGCGCGCCGCCTGCCGCAGGCTGCCGCTGCAGCTGGCGCGGCTGTGCGGCGGCGAGGGCGCCGGCTTCGTGGCGGCGGCGGCGGCGGCGCTCAGCGCGCTCGGCGTCGACTGGCGGGACGCGAGCCGCGTGCGGTCGCCGCTGGCGGCGGTCACGGGGCCCATCCGCACCGCGGCGCTGGGCACGCTGGCACAGGCGCGCGCCGCCGCCCGGCAAGCCAGCCAAGCCAGGAGCATGCCCGCCCGCCGCCTGCCGCGCGCTGCGTGCCATGCCAGCCTGCCCGCTGGAGGCGCGGAGCCGGTGCCTGCTCCCTTCAGCCGTGTGTGTGCCCACGTACCCTCCCGGCCGCCTGCCCCTATACCCCATGTACTAGATGCCTGCACCACCCACCCACACCTTTGCTGACTCCCCTGCCCTCCCTCCCTGCGCACGCCTGCTGCTGCAGGTGTCCTGGGCGCAGCTGCAGGCGGTGGGCCAGCTGGCGCTGCTGCTGCGCTACGCGCTGTGGTCGCACAGCATGGCGCTGTGGTCGCTGGCGCCGGAGGACGCGCAGCGGCTGGAAAGCGCGCTACTGCCGCGCGCGCTGGGCCTGCTGCGCGCGGCGGCAGTCGCCTACTGGGCCGCCGTCACGCCCGCGCCGGAGCCTGGCAGCGGCAGCGCCGCAGGCCTGGACCCCGCTGACATGGTGGTGGCGTTGCGCATCGGAGACGGCGGCGGCGGCGCCGCCGCCGCGGCGGGTGCGAGGCTGCCGCTGGCGCCGATGCCGGCGCCGATGCCGGCGCTGCTGCTGGCGCTGCTGGGGCTGCTGCTGCTGCTGCTGCCGGTGCTGCTGCTGCTGCTGCTGCATGGCTGTGGCGGGAGGGTCTGGCGCTGGTGCGAGTTGGTGTTGGTGTCGGCGCAGCGCTTTCGTGTGCATGCGTGCACCGCTCCATGCTTTGCAGGCCCGCGTGCCGCACACGCTGCCGCCGCTGCTGCCCTGGCCTGCTGTGCTGCAGGCGCCGCTGCCGCCAAGCGCGCGCGGGTGTCCAAGGGGCAGGTCTCATACGTGGCTGGCCTGCTGCTGGCGGCCTGCGTGAGCTCCCAGGACCTTCACGGTGAGCAGGAAGGGGCCTGGGCAGTGTGCGGGTTGTCGCCTGTGGTGGGGTGGTGTTTGTGCAAAGGCAGGTGCCGCGGGAGGGGAGAGCAGGCAGATGTGTGTCGCACCGGCGCATGCGCCCGCCTCCCTTCCATCCCTTGCCTCCGCTCCCATCCCCTTCCACCCTCTACCTATGCTCCCGTCACCGTCACAACAGCCCTCCATCACGTCCCTGCCCTGCCCTCCCCTCCCCTCCCCTGTTCTCTGCCCCCCCTGCAGTGGTGCGGGACCTGCCAGATCTCCAGCGCGTCTCCCTGCTCCTGTCCCAGCGCCTCCTCTGCCTCTCGCCCTCCCCGCTGCACGCTGCCGCCCCCGGCGCCGCCCTGCACCTGCCGCGCGGCGGCGGCGGCGGCGGGCAGCCGGGCGGAGGCCGCCAGACGTCGCCCGACGACCTGGCGGTGCAGGTGGCGGCGGAGCTGTTTGCGGGGCGCCACACCGCGCAGCTGGCCGCGCTGCAGCGCCTGCTGCCGCCTGACACTCAAGACATGCGCCTGCTGTTCTTCAGGGTGCGCCCTACCCCCTGCCCCAGCCAGCCGGCCCGCCCCAGCCTGCCTGCCCCGCCCTGCCCCGCCCTGGCCCGCTGTGCCTGCACCCCTGCCCCACCCTGCCTGCCTCTGCCCTGCCTGCTCCGCCCTGCGCCGCTGCACCCCTGCCACAGCCTGCCTGCCCCGCCCTGCCCTTGCATGATGCCACGTGCCTGACCTCTCGTGCTGCTTGCTGCTTTGCTGCTGGCATGGCACGGCACGTGCCGCGGCCCGCCACCGCGCGCCGCGGGCTGGCTGCGCGCCTCGCAGCCGCCGCTGACATGCCTGCCCGCCTGCATGCCCGCATACCTTGCCGTGCCTTCCCGCAGGCCTGCAGCCGCGCCCGCCAGATCGGGCTGGCCGCCTCTCCCGAAGAGCAGCGGCGGCTGGAGGAGGAAAGCTGCTCCCTCTTCTTCCGGGTGGCCGCAGTGTACGCCCAGCCAGACGCCTTCCCCGGCCAGGCCGCCGCCGTGGGCCGCTGCGTGCAGCAGCTGCTGGCTGACGCGGGCGCGGCGGCGGCGGGGCCGCAGGCCCGGGACGGCGGCGCGGTCAAGGAAGACGGGCCGCAGGTGCGCTGCTGCCGCACGCTTTCTTCCTGCCTCGCCGCAGCACTGCTCGCAGTTGACATCAGACGCTTCACACCAGCTCCTGCCCGGTGCCATTGGTGGCCCTCTGGCCTCTGGGCTCAAGGTGTTGGCCTGCGTGAATGCCATCCCGCCTGTTGTCTGGGTACCGCCTGCCTGGTACTGCAGGCGGCAGAGCTGCGGTACTACGAGGCCCTGACGACGATGTACGAGCGGATGGGGCGGTACGGCGCCGCCGCACGCTGCGCGTTGGCGGCGGCACGCCAGGTGGGCGCGCCTTTTCACGGCCACATCTGCTGCCTGGTTACTCCTCCTCCCTGCGGCTGGGATGGGGCCGCAGCTGGTGCAGGGCTGCTGCCGCGCACCTCCTTTTGCCGCGCCTGCAGCAGCAGCAAGATGCCTGCCTGCCTGACCGTGCGCCCGTGGGCTGCCGCTGCCCCCTGGCGCCTCCCCGCAGGTAGCTGCCGCCATGCCGCGCCCGGAGCAGCTGGCGGCGCGGGCGCAGGCGCAGGGGCGGCTGTGGACCCAAGTCTTCAGCTGCATGCTGGAATCTGGGCGGTACGAGGTGCGGCGCGGCGGCCGCTGCTCCTGCTTGCGCCGGTCGTGCCTGCTCGCACAACGCGCCCGCTGGACTCCTCCCCCCCAAACCCACCCCCGCCACGCCCACGCCGTGCTGTGTGTGCCTGTTGCACCTGCTTGCACGTGCCCGCTGGCCTTCTCCACGCGCACCAGCCCCTCCCCGCCCACGCCGCCCTGGCGCTCTGCAAGTGCGCCCACCAGCCGCGCCACACCCACGCCGCCCTGACGCGCTGCATGTGTGTGTGTGTGTGTGTGTGTGTGTGTGTGTGTGTTGCAGGAGGCGTATGTGGCCCTGCTGTCAAATGAGGTGGCAGAGGTGCAGCTGGACTGCCTGCACAGGCTGGTGGCCTGCCTGTGCGCCGCGCCGCGTGGCGTGGAGCTCCTCTGCCGCCTGCCGTTTGCGCAGAACCTGGCGGTGAGGCTGGGGGCGGGCTGGGGGGTGGGCATGTGCGGGTGCGAGTGCAAGGGTGTGGTTGACAAGGCAGTGCCGCGAGGTCTCACCCTCTTGTTTGTTCAAGGGAGGTCGCCTCCTCAGCCGCTACACGCCGCCTCTCTTCGTATCTGGCGCAATGGCACGGCCGCTCGCTGGTGCTGGCAACCTTCCCTGCGCCGACCCTGCCTGCCTGCCTGCCTGTCCCTGCATGCCCCTGCGCTGCAGCTGGTGCGTGGCGGGCGGCAGGCGTGGGTACCCATGCTGGAAGAGGTGGTGGGCAGCCTGGGGCGCCGTGCGGCGCAGCTGGACCTGCGCGCCTCTCCGCAGCCGTACAAGGTACTAGCGGGGCTGGGCGAGGATTGCATGGCGCGGGTGGCGGCCTGGCTGGGCGGGATTGCCGGGTGGTAAACTGAACGGGATGGTGTTGAGAAGCGCACGCTGCGTGCTGGGCGCTCCCACCCACCCGCCTCCCAACCGCCTCCCGCCCGCCTGCCATGTGTCCCTCCACTGCTGCCACGACTCCGCGGTACCGCAGGTGCTGGCCGACTTCCACATCTGCCGCAGCAACTACCAGGCGGCTGCCGGCGCCATGCTGGCGTACGCGCGCCGCCTGGTGCAGGAGCGTCCGGACGAGCCCGCCCTGCTGGCAGAAGCGGAGCACGCCCTCGCTGCCGCCGTCAGCTGCCTCAGGTGCGGCGGGCCTGCCACGCTGTACCGCCTGCCAGCTCGGCAACGCCAGCCTGGCGCTGGGCGTGCCGTTGCTGGCGCTGCCTCGCCTGCCGCGCTTGCAGCGAACACGTGGCCGGCGGTGCAAAGGGTGCATGGGGCAGGCGTGCGGGGGGTGGGCCTCTGCTTGCGACTGGGCTCCTGCTGCTCATCTACCCCTGCGCCCTGCCCCTGCCCTCTCCTCTGCCCGCCCTGCAGCCTGGTAGAGCGGCAGCATGCGTGGGTGGCAGACCCTGCCGCGGCAGAGGGGCCGGAGGATGAGGACGGCGAGGGCGCGCCGCCTGTGCTCACGCTGGGCGCGCTACGGCGGGAGTATGCTGTGGTGCGCGGCCACGCGGCGCTGGCGGCGGCCATGCCCGGCGGCGAGCGCGGCACTGCGCTGCTGGCGGGCGGCGGCGCGCGGGCGGGCGGCGACGCGGCGCGCGGCGAAGGCGCCGAGGCCGTCCTTTCGCAGCTGCTGGCGCTGGGTGCGTCGGGCGGCTGGCGGGCCGGTGCCTTCCCATATGCTTGCCATGTTTGGGGAGGTGTGGAGGGAGGTGTAGCAGGGGGAGGTGGGGAGAGGCAGGTCAGGTGGGGGAGGGATGCAACAAACACGAAACTGACAGAGAGCAAGGGAGGTGCATCCAGGGGAGGGGCTACGCTTTCTTCATTTCACAAGTGAATCCTGGCCCCTGAACCTGGCTGCCCGCCCCGCCTGCAGGCCTGCACGACGCCGCCTTCCAGCTGGCTGAGGCAGCGTTTGTGGGCAGCCAGCTGACGCGGGCGCTGGAGCGCTGCTTTGCCTCGCTGGCGGCCGCCTGCGTGGCATGCCAGCTGGCGCTCGGCTCCCCCTCCGCCTGCTCGGCAGCTGCCGGCGTGGGCTCCCCAGCGGCGCTGCTGTCGCCAGGAGGGGACGATATGGACACGGATGAGGCGGCAGGGGCGGGAGCTGCGGCGTCGGGCGGCGGCGGCGACGGCGGCGCGGCGGCGGCGGCGGCCGAGTGGCGGCGGCTAAAGGATTGGCTGCACAGGTGCGACTGGAGTGTGGGAGGAAGGCAGGGAGGGAGGGGGTGACATGCCAGGGTGCCCTGCTTTGGTGTGCACCCCGACTTGTGTCGAAACTCGGCGCCCGCCCCGCGTCTTGCAGCTCCAGAGCTTCTCTCCCCTGCCCCCTGCCTGCCACGCCCGTGCAGGCACGAGGGCGGCGAGCACCGCTTCCGCCTGCACCTCGTCATCCTGGACGCGCTGCTGAGCGGCGAGCCCGCCTTCATGCTGCCTCCCTGGCTCATGGCGGCCTTCCGGGTGCGGCGCCGCGCGGCTCGGCTGCTGCTGCTGCCGGCCCGCACGCTGCGTGTGGGTTGCGGTTGTCGCTTGGCCGCCTCCTGCCTGGTTCCCGCCACCTGCCTGCCTGCCGTGCCTCCCCGTGCGCTGCCTTGCCTTGCCGTAATGGCGCCGCCGCTCCACGGCCCGCCTGGGGCCTTGCAGGCGGGGGCTCCCGGCGCCGACCTCGGCGGCGCGCTGCGGGTGCTGATGCGGCACGAGCGGCTCCGCGACGCGGCGCAGCTGGCGGCGCGGCACCTGCAGCATGCGCTGACCAGCGTGCCCAGCGTGGGCATGTCGCGCACAGCACAGGTCTACTTCCCGCAGGCGCAACTGGATGAGCTGGTGGCGCGTCTGGGTGGCGCGGGCGGGGAGGGGCTGGCGCGGGAGCGGGAGCAGGTGGCCGAGCTGCTGCGGCGCGTGCGGGGGGCGGCGCGGGGCCAGACCGACGTCATCCAGCAGCTGTACGCGCACTGAGCGCCGCTGTAACACGTCGGCGAAAGCGCGTGCATGGGCGCAACCTCGGCGCCATGCGGGCGGTGGCATTATGCAATCGGGGTAGTGTGGCCAGGGCGCATTCGAATTCTTGCACAAGTAATCAACACACGCTGGTTTCGGCCGCTTCCAGCCCACGCTGGCCCAAGTTGCGTGGTTTCGTTTCGTCGTTGTTCGAGCCGTGGCCCTCCGGCTCGCTGCTGCTGTGAAAGGAGTCCGGCGCGTGTCAAGAGCCACAGACAGCTCCCGCAGCCGCACCGCCAGCCAGTCACCGGGCCGCGAGATGGGGCCGCTCGCCTTGGGGAGGCGACATTCGGCAGAGCTTTACTTCTTTCTCCTGTGAGCCGTAAAACTGGCCGGATGTGCAGAGACAGCCCTGCCACACACCGTCCCGCCTTCGCCGCCGCTGCCCGCCTCGCCGCCCGCCCGCCCACCCTGCTTGCCCGTGAACCGCAGACAATGGCTCCATCGTGTTCATCCTGCCCTTCCTGGCCCTGCTGTGGAGGGAGGAGGGCTTCACAGGGGGACAAATCGGCATCCTGTCTGCCGTTCGCCCCTTCATCTGCTCCATCAGTGGTGAGTGGGGGGGGGGGGGGGGGGGCGAAGGACCCCCCGCCTGGGCCCC